AACTGGGAAATGTTGGCAAGGTCCTGATCCAAGGTGGATCATAATCCATTCAGGCGGAGATAAAGGTTTTGTGGAGAATGCCCTTCTCGTATTTAAAACGAACACAAAAGATGGGGCATAGCAGTCCATGATGAAATGTATAGCACTAATTTCAAAAAATGGGTTTATGAAAAGTTACTACCTAAACTGCATGAACCTTCACTCATTGTGATGGATAATACGCTATACCACAGCAAGGCTTATATGCAGAAGTGGCTATTAGAAAAAAATGTGTATTTCAATGAACAAATGACAAAACCTAAGCTTTATGAGTTTGTAAAGAGAAATAGACCTTCTCCGGATTGTGAAATTGATAACCTGATGAAAAGTCATGTCCATTATATTCTTAGATTACCACCTGGTCACTGAGACTTGAACGCAATTGAAATGATATGGAGTTCTATGATAAAGAACGTAGCAGACATAAATGTTTGGAAACTTATGTTTAAATGCCCCAATTAATTGAAGATGCATTCAATAAATTTATACCCGGAGAGTGGAAAAACATTTGTAAACATGTGAAAAAAATTAAAAGTGAATACAGACAAAAAGACGCTTATTTAGATATACCCTTTATTATAGAGTTGCAGAGCGATAGTGAAAGTGATTTCAGTGACTCAGAAGACGCCGACGGTACGTCATTTAAAACAGGAGTTCATGGAGTTCGGCCGCTTGAACTCCGAGATCACGACTACAATAATTATTTTTATAATATATAATGTCTCAACGGAGACTAGCCATCGGCGCAGGGCAAGATTATAGTGCCCAAGTGTATGTGCAAGCACTTGTGCACTCGCTATTCCCTCACTCTCAAAGTCCGATGGGACGGTAAATCGACACGACCGGAGAGAGATCAGGCGCAGGACCAACGGCTTTACGTTCTTCCCGAGGTACGGGGGTGAGACACCGCCAACTTCCTGACTCCGGGCAGCTACTGACAATTTCTTGATGGAAAAACTCAATAACTGATTTTTTTGTGGCCCGACCCGGGATTCGAACCCGGGACCTCATGATTAGCAGTCGCACTACTACAACCACTATACCAACAAGGCAGTCAAATAATATATATAATAACACAAATTTTCACTAATGTTAATATATTAACTCGGAATTTGTTTTATTTTACATTACACATAATGAATATGTAGTGACCTATTCCCTCGGTACATTTCTTAAATGGCAATAGTAAGCACTCCACTAGCGCCTCTGTCAACTGAACCTCAGAATCAGAACAATAACTAAAGCTTTAGTTATTGTTCTGAGAACTGAACGAATAAGTTGATGGCACTGCTTTTGACATATCGTCAATAGAATCTATTACGAAAAAATAAAATACTCATAGAATTATTACGCATAGAAACGCAGTCCAGTACAAAACACGAGCGTTAAAATGATGCAAAGTCATTATGTTAGTGGGCGCGAGTCGAATGTGCCTACGCTCGTCACACGCACACATACACGCCATTCAGTGATACCAGTTTCTGGCGTTTGCAATCAAATTGTGCAAATCACTATTTTTTGGTTAATTTTAAAAAATCGATATAATAAAGATTACGTATTATGTACGAAGATTATTTAGTAGAAGTATTTTATGAGAATATAAAATGGAATAAAATAAACACAATAATGATGTTACTAATATAACTTTATTATACATATATTAATGGTAAAAAATGCATACGTAATAAAATTTAAGAATATTATTAAACACAATTAATTTGCTCGAATACAATAAGCACATCGTGTAATGTTTAATTTTAACCGACTTCAAAAAGGGAGGAGGTTATCAATTCGGTGTATTTTTTAATGTTTTTTAATTCTACAATTTCTAAACCAATTTAGATTTTTTTGAAAGGATATACACACAGATTGATCCAATACACACGCTGAAATTTTAATGGTTGTTTTCCCGAAGTAAAATGACTTTGCCTTAGTAGTACAATAGAATAGATGTAAAAATGGCAGATTTACAATCGAGAAAAACAATACTCGAATGCGATCTCAAACCAGTAAGCAATATCTCGCAAGTAGGTCGGGCGTACAGGCTAGCTTATACCGAATTACTATAATAAAGTCTGAAAAAAATTCGCTGGACGTTATGTAGTGTTACATCTATCGCCCGTGCTACCGCGCGCTTCCTACAAAGTGAAGGACCACTAATAAATGTTCATAACATGAATTCTCAAGCGTAGTGATACGACATAAACTAGTTTGGACGCCCGAATAGCTTGTGAGGTATTACTATAGTAAATCTGCCCTTTTTTAATTGTAATATTTTTTAATTTAATAAATTGACTACTATCGAGACAGTATAATTTGGCTGCGGGACAACAACCACTAAAATTTCAGCATGTATTGCTTGTATTATACGAATTGATCAAGCTTAGAAATCAGTGTACATACATATTGATAACCTTTCTTTTTGGGAGTCGGTTAAAATAGGCTATGTTTGGGTCTAACGTAACATCTGTTTAATGTTTGGGTGTAAAGTGACATCTGGTTAGTAAAGGCGTTCTTATTAATAATCTCATGATGTTGTAAATAAAAAAGTTTTTATTCTATACCCTAAAACGTAACCTTAGTCATTAAAAAATCAAATTAAAATAAAATAGTCGCGTTAAAATGGCGTCGACGAATCGCGATTAACTGATCATTCCGTATTAATTTTAAATAGACACCCATTGTTAATATAATGTTAACACTTAGAGAAGTAGGTATCTATATATAAAGATTTGAGTTTTACACAGAGCGTTGCGATTAAACGTTTTAAACACAAATAGAAAATAAATATTTTTAAAAGAAAATTGTAATTTTTTCCCCACAACTAGCAACATTTGTATTATGAGAGCTTAGGTAAGTATTTTTTTAGTTTTACGTACTTATAATGAATTAAATGTATAAACTTACATGTGAAATGTAATACCATTACTTCTTTTATGTTTATCATCACCGTTGTGACAATATTTTACAACACAAACGGTAATTTTTACAATTTTTCGCGAGCTCTTCTCCGTAAGACGTGACGTTGCGCACTGACGCGTCGCTGAGTCAACTAACGCGGTTTCGAGTTAGTTTTACTTGCTTCACTTTTGGTGCGCGTACTAGTATTCTATGCGTAATAATTCTATGAAAATACTTTACTCCAACAAATCGATGATAGTGAGTTTAGCTCTGAAACGAGATTGAGTCACTATCACTGAGGTATGTAACACAAATAATATCACCACGGTCACAATAATCGTCACATGTACAATATATTAGGCAATATTAGGGCGTGATTTATCATACACGATATGATATAATGATAGATGTATGATATGTAGCAGTGTAAAATAATTAACGACATGACGTTGTAGTTGTTTAAAAGTAGCTACATTTTATATGCCTAATTAAAACCTATTTCGTATAAATTGTAAAATTTAGAGATAATGAACTTCAAATAAAAAGATTAAATTTGTGAATTCGCTACATATATGCAATATTTTTCACAGAGACTTTATTATAACCGAATAATTACTTAATAACAGAATTATTACTGCGGGCACAATCCGCCTTCAAAGCGTGACAATTAAGACAATACGTACAACAGGGGAACCTCATGTGCAGCAGTGACCATCTACGAAATGCTTTTGAAGTAAATATTCTGAATTAAATAATTTAATTGTATAAACGGTAAGTTTCAGCATCAAAATCAAATCTTATTGCCAATTTTAAATATTATATAATTAGACACGTTATCCTCTTTCACTATATTCTTTACCTATTTTCCGTTTCTTCCTCTAGCTTCACTAATAAGGTAGTCTGCTGACTTATTAGTCGCTTTGATTTTTTTTGGTGCAGTTCTCCAGCCATCATTTGTCAAAGAGTATTATAGTCAGTGAGTTTTGCACCAAATTCAGGTTATGGCATATATGTACTAGAGAAATTAAACTTGGGTCTCAATTCACCTGCCAAGCATGGTTAAAGCACAGATTAATAGGTATGTAGCTGGCTGTTATGAAAGGTGTGAAAAAATATTCCTTTTTCACTAGCGGTGAGTCGTTATATGTTTTATAAATAACGTACCGTTATTGTTATTGTACAACGGATAACATTATCATAACTATCAGTATTTCATAAGTGTCTATTTTCCATGTAACGGCAACTTGACAGCAACTAGTCATAGAACAGTTATCACCACAACTATTTCCGTTTCGTGATATAAATCTAATATATCTAATATAGATATTAAGATATTTAAACAAATTTAGCTGCTGAAATTAACTTTCCTTCGTACTTTCCCTCAGGATTTGCTGAGCTAATCAGGCGTAGGCCCTTAAAAGTTCGAGATTTTAATGATGATGATGATGGTTTTGAAATTAAACTAAGTTTACATAAAACCAAAATGGGATGTGATAATAATATCACGATCCGACACGTTCCATCAAACTCAACGTTGCAACGTTACGGATCGTAATAAGAAATAGACAGATATGAGAGTTAAACATCTACACGTTATAAAGAAAATAGACGTTTTCCATAACTGTCTATACGTTATAACGTTTCTAGCGAGTTTCAATTTTGTTCATTTTTGTGTATTGTATTTCGTTTTGCTATTTTATATAAAAAATAATTCAATTTTATCTACCTAATTTATTATTTTCATTATCTCTTAGGCAAAAACAGCTTTTTAATTTACCACATTAATTAATATCACTAATAAATATTAGCTTAATATATTTAGTAGCACTTGCGCATCTCTACACTCTATAAGGCCGATCATCGTACTAATAATGGAGTATGCCGGCAAGTCAGGTATCTTGTTTTAATTTATTTAGTGAACAAATTACCGTTTGTTTCGTGTTTTTAGTTTAAAAATAATGAAGATATACGTTTAGTTCCACAATAATAGAGAATAATAAACGCGTTGTTTGGCAGATAAGATTTTGTAGTGTCATGAAGATTAGTGAGAAGAAATCAATATGGCCCTCAAGCTCGGAAAATGTAGGCTTTGCCTTAAACTCGGCGACTTTTATTCCATCTTCACGATGGATAACAATCTACAGCTTGCCGAGATGGTTATGGAATGCGCCCGAGTGAAGGTAAAAGTATAAACTGAGGATTTCTGTATTAATACCAATTCATCTAATCCAAAGGTGTAATATTTCTTAAGTGTATATTTTTTATATCAGTTTTAAACATTTTTATTCGGTTTTGTTTTTAAATTTAAAAAAATCCGTAGATACAAAACCAAGCACAAATAAACAAAATTTTGTTTTGATATGGATATGTTTTATTCATAGTTAATTTTTTGTTTAAGCTTACACTTAAGGTGTATTGCTACTTATTTTATTACACATTAAATTTTTGTTATAAACTGACAGTTTTAAATTTTATATCCACATAGCATTCATTAATTTGTTAACTGTATTGTTTATGTAATGTTAACATACTTTTTAAATTATATTCTGCAATATTCATAAAAAATTCTTAATCGAGAAGCTGCAAATCAGAACTGTCTATTATAGTACTGCAATTGTTTTCTGTTGTTATTATTTAAAAAGTTTTAAAATAAATGTTGCAATAAAGTTGTACTAGGTGATTTGTTGAAAACTTTCATGAGCAATTTTCAATTAATGGAATTCAAATTTTAAAAAATCCAGGGGTAGTGAGGTTTTGGGGGAAGCGCTTTGCAATAGTTTCCACTGCTTTTTACAGCAGCAATTTTCTTTTGGTAAAATAGACCCTTTTCAATGTAATTTTGAAATCAGCTAGTTGAGCAAGTCCATAGGTGCTGAGAAAAAAATTGCCAAAAGTTTCTTTCGGGGTTGGTGGAATTGTGGATAGAGTCATGTGATGGGCCTAAACTTATTTTCAAACAATAATGAGGTCGATGACATCTTTAAGGTGAACAACTCTGAAGTCAAGGCCGAACACTGAAAGTTAAATAGTCACGATCAATTCAAAGTATCACAATCATCATCAAGATCAGAAAAGTCGCAGAGAAAAAAATTTTTCTTTTACAAAGCCAATAACTTGGCAACTTAACATTTTATTAAAAAACCCAAAAATATTGTGGGTTCATAAAATGAATAAACAGAGAGGAGTTTGAAGAATACCATACACTAGTTACCGAACTGGAGAATGATGACTTGCTGTACTTTCGTATGTCAAACTTTCGATTTGTTTACCTTTTAAATCATAATGTTTAACAGTATTACTACCAGACTATCTAAAGTCAGAGTTTTTGACATTTAGGTAGTAATTCTGTTAAAATGTATGATTTATAATGCAAACAAATACATTAATATGCAGAATATAATGTGTTATTTCTGTAATATATAAAATCATGTCTTATATTTAATAGTAACTGGGATAAAATTACAAAAAGTTACTCTTTACTTTTAACTATATTCAAAAAAACATATGAGACTATATTCAAAGAAACATAACACCTCATCTATTTAATACATATGAGCTGTATTAAATAGATGAGGTGTATCTCCCATTTTGACAGAAAAATTTAAGAATATAAGTACAAATATTTATAGAACTTATTTTAAATCAACCTCTTACTCATAGACTAGTTTCATCTAATCATGAAAAAATATGTGAAAACAAGTTTTTCTTTCGGTTAATGTAAACATGTCATCAATTTAAATCATTAAGTTTTTCTATACATGATATGGCATCATCATTAGCAAATGTTTTAAATGCTATTAAAAATCATCTATTGATTAGTAAACAAAAATAATTAAAACTGTATTTATAACCTTATGCACTACTGTATGTGTTACCTTAGTATAAAACAAAAATATGAAAGCCAAGTGCCACCATTGTACGTTCCAACATAGTTTGAAATCGGATTTCACACTCATTTATTAGAATAGTAGGTTGAAACTATTTACTTTTTAAAGTATAATAGCTTGCACTACTGATTTCTTTAATCATTCTGTATTAGTGTTGAACCATGGTAACTCAGGGGCTAAGAACTTGCTGAAAATTTCAGCCGGCAGTAATGTTTAGTCGAAGTTGTCGACTGTTGACCATTTAAAGTACTGATTTAAATCATGCTCTACAGTAAAGGAAAATATTATGGGGATCTCTGAGTAAATAAAAAATATTTCAAGGACATGTTAAATCAACTTATATTGGGCACTGTAGATACTTCCATCTCCAAAAACTCGCTCAGAATTGAGAGACTGCTTTGCAGCCTCAGCTGGCAGTGAGGCATATATAGGCTGTAACTTTGCTATTTACTTCATTGTTATGTGAACTAATATCTGTTACAGTTTAACTTGTGGAAAGTGAGTGGTTTTCACATTTCGTTATTATAAGGCCTGAATGGAGTATTAGGTGCATTGTATGAATATAGGTATACAATTAACACTATATATCAATGAACACAATGAAATTAAAATAAGTTTGTAGTTACGAATTGTGAAATAACACAACATTGTTCTTTCACTTATTTCGTGTTTGCTTATTCACTTGTTCTCTTTATTTAGTGTTTCTGACATTGCATTGCTCTAAGTTATTACATAATCATTACATTAGGCATGAGAAGGTTTTTAGATAGTTTTGTTATGACGGCTATACATGTTGGCCGAACGAAGGCGAGCACCAATGTATAGACAGCCCATTCGTCTAGCCTCGCCATTGCCTAGCGACTCGACGCCGTCGACGTCCGTCTAGCTGGTCGAGTGCAGGCGAGCGCCAACGTGTATACGGTTCGTTTTGCGTGCCTTGCCGCCACTCGTGATCGCTCGCTATATGATTCGTCCACTTCGGAACAGTGTCGGTTTTTCTCCACAAATCAAAGGCGCTCGCCTACAGTCGGCAAGTCGCGTCCACATGTTAGTTGGCCATGTCAGTTACAGTACAGGTTGGCATCTGTCCCGGTGAAATGTTATGTTGTGTTATGTGTGTGTATATAATTAAGTTGCAACTTCAAAATAATTTCCACAATGTCAAAGCTTCTTTTTTTTTTTATAGGATAAGGGTGACAAACGAGCACACAGTCCACCTGATGGTAAGTGGTTGCTGTGGTCCATAGACATCTACATCTATCCTCTTTTACAAATCAAAATGTAGATGCGTTGTCACCCGTGAGGACTAAGATGGAATGCCTCATTTCCAGTAAAAAGGGCCTCCGGCCACCTGTACTCACCAAGCGAAACGCAGAGGTAAACCTCTACTTCACGCTGGTTTTCTGTGAGGTCCTGGTACCACCCCGGTTCGAGCCGGCCCATCCGTGCAACAGCAAAAGCTGCCGCGTGGCTCTACCACTGTTAAAGTTGTTAAAAGTGTTTTTACAACTTTACTGCGGAGTACACTGACATGATAATTATATACACTAATTAAATTAATAGCAAAAGCTGCAATAATTTCTACGTCGTCCATATTGTTCCAATTCTCAATGAAAATTAATTACGGCCAACATGGGGATAGTCCCACAAAAACTCATGAACATTGGCAGTTGGCTTTGGTCTCATTTGAGCTTGACCAACATGTAGACTGTAACACTCGCCTTGTATCAATTTGTCTACGCTTGCGTTGACTGAAGCTTGACCAACATGTATTGCTGGGGTTAGATTAACATGGCCATTGGCTAGATTTAGCTATGATTCAAGAAAAAAATTTCAGTCGTTTGAAGATCATTAGGTCTTTTGTTTGTGAGCTTTTTAAAATTTCCAATTTAAGTTATTAATGTCATAATCATAAACAATGACTAGGTACTTAGGAAATTCACTCTTTCCATTTCATACACTGCAATACTTTAGTAACATTGTCTTAAATAACATTTTCATTGTAATGCTTTATGGTATACAATATGATTTGTTTGATTACCTTTCGCGTAAACAATGCTGATGGTTTTCCCAACACGTGGACAGCCAACGTACAATTGGCCATGCGAGAAACCTGGGTTTACAAGATTAATACCGGAAACATTAAATTACTTCCCCTGGAATTTATTTATGGTCATAGCGAAAGCAAGCCGTACTGGAAACTGCAGTTGTTTAAATTCAAATGGTATGTCAGTCGAAATCATTGGGATACGTGGTATCAAAACGTCTTCACCTGTATACTTTCCCTATAGACTGGTTGCTTCAATCACGTTGTTCAGTAATTTTTTCACCGCTAGCCGTGTGCCGTTACAAAGACGCGATTGGTTGATATTTCGCAATACTATGATCACCGATCCTGCTTTTAATTGAAGACTGTGATTCGGCAATCACGTGAAATGTATAGGCTACTTCATGTTGTTAAAGGAATGTTGCGGCGGCGATCTCAGCGACTCACGCGAGCGCCCGGCACAATTTATTTTGTTTGATTTTATTCTGCCACAGGATGTCACAGGATCCTTCGGCATGACGCGGAATGCCACATGATCCTTCGACATGACGCGAGACGACACAGGATCGTTCGGCATGTCGAAGTGTGGCTTATCACGCTGTGCCATGCCTAGCCATCTGTGAGCGCAGGCCCTATATATAGCTCGTTTGCTCAACCAAATGTGGCCTCTGTAATTTTGAGCAACATTTGCAGACACCTTTTGAATGAGTTCGGTTTTTTTTTATAGGAGAGGGGGCAAACGAACCTGCGGCTCACGTGATGGTAAGTGACTACCGCCGCCCACGAACAACCGCAGCATCAGGGGAATTGCAGAAGCGTTGCCGGCCTTTTAAAACGGAGTAGGCTCTTTTCTTGAAGGTCCCTAAGTCGTATCGGTCCGGAAAAATCGCTGGTGGTAAACTATTCTACAAGGAAGTTGTGCGAGGAAGAAAACATCTTCTAAATCGCACAGTGGTGGACCACCAATCATCCAAATGGTGTGGATGGTATGGGGAGTTCTGCCGCGATGTGCGTTCGTGAAATTTGGCAGGTGGGATTAATCCGAACAATTCCTCAGAGCACTCCCCGTGGTAAATGCGAAAGAAAATGCAAAGAGATGCAACATCTCTTCGCAGCGCCAATGAGTCGAGCCGATCGGAAAAGACTCGGTCGTCGACGATTCGAGCCGCTCTGCGCTGGATGCGGTCAAGTGGAAGGAGTTGGCACTGGGGACCCCAGCCCAGAGATGGGAACAGTATTCCATGTG